CGCAAAATTTTCATAAATTCAGGAACGAGCTTGTCGGCACTCACAAACACACACACACATACAATACAGCCTCCTCTCTCTGGGTGTATGTGTGTGTGTTTGTAATAAAAATACGCTAAAATGTTTGTATCACACACACATAAACACGATGCTTATTGCCTACTTTCGGGAGCAGCAGCACAAGAGAGCATGGTATAAGAGTATGTACTGTATCTGTGTGTATCTGTGTGTGTGTGTGTGTGTGTGGGGGGGGGGGGGGGGGGCTGTTCATTTGCTACGGCTTCCGTTTGGCGCTAATGCTGATGATGCCTGCCACCCACCTTCAACCTCCCTTTTGTGTTAAAGATTTTGGCTTTAAAAATTACCGCACTCCCTGTAGGGTTTCATTTTTGGGTTTTGACTAGAAAATGGAACAGCCACAGAAAATAGTATATTGATATGTCTCCAACTTAAGAGAAATTTCATTAAACTTTAAATTTAAATACAGTCTTTTCATTTGCGTCTATAAAATCAACTCAAATTCTGGCCATTTCCCGCTCGAATAGCTTCCAATGGAATACTTTTCGAAGAGCACCCCTATTACCGCCGCCCTACCCTAACGCACAGCCAGAATCCATTTGGTATATAAAACGCTGATGCGCGCGAGCTTATCGGGCGCTTTCAAGTAAACAGACAGACAGACAGGCAGGCAGCTATAAAAATTTGCATTTGACTAATGCCAAATATTCAGAGACGATGGAGCTGGAGCTAAAGCGGGTGCTATAGCGGAGCCATCCGATAAGCGTAAGCATATAACGCCCACCCCACCCACCCATCTACCCCCGTGGCATGCCTCAACCCTTACAAGACAAAATAAACAAAAAAAAACACAGCAGCGGCAGCAACAGCAGCAACAACAACAATGGCTTGAGCGTAGAAGGGAGATGCCAATGCGTTTACTGATTTTTCGAGTGTGATACGTGCAAAGATTTTCCTTTTCTCTTCCAAAAGAAAAACTTGGAAGAAGAGTAAGTACTCTGCAGGAGGAAAGGGATAGGAGGAAGGGGATTGGAGACGCTTTTATGATATTTCCTATTAAGCTATTTGTTGCTAGCTCCCTTTTATCGCTTTAAGACCCTCTCTTGCTCATTCTCCCTCGCTGTATGTAACTCTTTATTCCTGCTTTTTTCTCTGTGTGTGTGTGGGTGTATGTGTGTGTGTGTTTGCCAGAATCTTGCCAAAATTTCGTGGATGGCAGTTGCATTGCAAAATGATACTAAAAGCTCGCATACACAGAGACACAGACACACACAAGTGTCGTTTATCGATTTTCCACACCCTGCTCTGCACACCCTCCCCTACCCCAAAAGTGTCTGCTGCATGCACCCTGCCCTACTGTGTATATGTGTGTGTGTGTTCTTGTGGATTTTTGACATGCCAACGCATTTTAAATTTGCATTTTTTGGCACCGAAACTGGCAAAATTTTAAGCTAAAAGCATTAAGACCATGGCTAAAAGAGGGACAGAGCCAGTGACCAGTGAAGAGCAAGAGGGGGAAGGTGTGTGAAGCAGCGATGCCTGGGATGCTGGAGGGGATTGGAATGGAGAGGTTAAAGTTCAGTTTGAACAACACAGAAATTGCCAAAATATGCCAACAATAGACTTAGTTTTCTCGTTAGTTGAAAATATTGGAAAATATTGCTAAGCAAATACCTATACTCGTATTTTTGGATTTATATATGGCCAATAATTGTATGGTGTGGACGGCAAAAGAATTCAAAATAATTGTTGAAATTAAATGAATATCGATGAAATATAAATATGCATGAAATAAATTTCGTTTGGTCGTCCGTTGTAAAAACAAAATGGTACGAAGTAAAATATGAAAAAATAGTTTTAGGTGTAATATGCATATATCCGTATGGGTTAGAAACACAACTCAAACAATGGGAACATGAAAAGAGAGAAGATAAAAGAAAATCGATAGCCCAAAATCATAAATAATATTCATATTTTTTAGATGGAAGAAAAATAAACAAAAATAAAAGCATGTATTTTTTTGGCCAGCCTAAAGTTTATTCCAACTTTTAAGAAATTGTTTTATTTATTTTTCGTGCTTTTAGCTTATATTTTAAAGTTTATGACGAACCCTGAAAACATTATTTTTCATTCGTTTAACAGCTGGAGCACACACAGATTTTCAAAGCTTCTTAAGTTCTGGTTTTATGAAATTTATGACACACACACACACACACCCCGATACACATACACACACATAAATAAATGCCTCAATAAGTCACTGTCATGAGTCGTGTGTGAGACTCACAGTGTGACTGGGATGGGGCGGCAACCTTGCCACTCGGATGATTCGGAAAGGTAACTTTTTTTGTAAAATTTCGTTGATTTATTGGGGCTGACATGTGACCCACACACTCAAATATATCCCCGATTGGAATGGGCAGCTCTCACACAGCTCCTTTGATTCCTCCACCCATCCCACATATATGTAAATATTAATTAATATATTTCCATTTTGAAATCACTCCCCAAGCGAAGGAGACTCGAAATTGTTGTTGGGCTTTCATGCCGAATGCCGAAGATCTCATTAAGTCCTGACACGCCCACAATTAAAAGCACAGAAAGAAGTGTAAGAAGAAATAATGGAGATTATGTTAAAAAGGAACCGAATTTGGACAAAAACAAAAATGTGGAAAATTCCTTCAAATTAATTTAAAAATACAAAAAAAAAAATGGAAAGGGAAAGGAAAAGCAAGAAAAGTGACGCGGCAAGGCAGTGGGAGGGGCAGAAAAATAGCTGTGAATTTGTTGTACGTCACGTCCAGTCGGTGGAGTTTTTTCCCCCCCCCGTTCAGCATGGAAATAAGCTCTTTTCCTGGGGGCCACATTTCCCGGCAGCAAGTGACGGCTAAGCGACGAGCATAATGAGTTCGCGACGGCAGCACTCGACTTTGGCACATTTTGCGGTTGCCTGCAGCACGGCCAGCGCCTCCACTAGAAGACACTTTAAGAGTCAGTCAAATGAGTATACGCACACACACACACACTCAGATGAATTTAAGCTGCTTGATTGGTCTACGTCTACGTCTTCGTCTCAGTCTTTGCCATTGGCTGCGGGTCTAATCCAATTTTTGCATTAATCGAATTACAGAGAGAAAGCCTTTTGCGGTGAAAGGAGAAAGCCGCATTCAAATGAAATTATTGCCAAAGACTCAAGCAAAAGCCCTCCCCGCCGGAATGCAGCTGTCGAAAGAGTATTGATTGACAAAATTGAGGTCAATTAGTGGCCATGTGGATGTGGAAAGTTTGTGTGCATTATTTGAAAATGTTTTGGCATTAATTTAGTTAAAGGATACACAAACGTAGGTATCCCGGCCACAAAAATTCTCCAAAAATCAATCTAGATTTCCTTCTCCAAAAGGTACAAACATATAAACACATATATGTATATACAAATGTATATATATATATATATATATGTAGATGTATTGCAGACCTTGAATCACCGCGGGAGGCCTTGACAGGAGGCCCAGAAAAAACCCGAGAATTATTTAATGCCAGCTGCCATATTTAATACTAAGAGAAATAACAACAACATACATGTACACAACGAAGAAAACGGACCGTCTCCTGGGGCTGCTAGGCGGACAAACGACAAAAAAAAAAAATGCCACAGAAAGCTCGACAGCGAGCAGCACAATAGAACTGCGATAAATAAGGCTAAGAAGAGGAGAGCTGGTTGGGGGAGCAGAGGGTTCCGAGTGCAGGACATTCAGGAATTTGTGTGAAGAAGGAGGAGGAGGAGGTCGAGGGAAAAGTGCACACTAAATGTTCGGGCGCCTGCAAGTATGCTTTCAATTGTGCGCAATTTAGTGCGACAGAGCGACAACAAAGGGCCCAGACCTGTTTCAGTATGTTACACTCAGTGGGTGTGTGTGTGTGTACATATATATGTAGGTGTCTGGTTGTATGTGTGCGCCTGACTAGGTGCGAACAAACACGTGCAAAGCGGCGCCTAAAAACAGTCAACGCAAAAAGGCCAGTGGCTTGGAGGGGCGCCCCATTGTTTGCTCTCTTGCTCTGGTGCCCTCACTCCCCCCGCTCACTGCACACTGCTGCTCTGTGATTGCGATTATTATGATTATTGTTTAGTACAGCAATGGGCGGTGAGGCGTGACCGCGAGGCAGTGGGGCAGAAAAGAGCACAGCAAAAAGAAAAGAAAAAAAATCAGAATAAAACCAAACAAAAATAACAAGAGAAATAATACTCGTATAAAGAACAAATCTTGCTCTTGTTATTTTTATTTGGTTTCATTTTTGGATTTTTACTTTTACTTTTTCTATATGTACTATATCTATCTTTATATTTATGGAATATCTTTAGTAAGCACCTCAATGATTACAAACAGACAAAACAACAAATAAAGCAAATGTCTGATCATTGTACATATATTTTTTTACTTAAATTAAAGTCTAAGCATCTGCTAAAAGGGTATTAAATCGTCGACTCTGCGTCTGCGGATCTGCTCTGGATGTTGCGCCCGGGTCTTAGCCAACAATGCGACATGGCCGCGCGCTAGTTTTATGTGCCACATAAACATTGTTGTCCCCGCGACACCTCTACCTCTGCCTTCTGCTTGTGCTTGTGCCACACGCCTTTTTGGCGCGCAAAAACTTGTCGCTTTCCAGCCATTTTATTGCTTGTCTTACACACACACACACAAACAGAAAAGTGGTGAGAGGGAGAGGGCTATAGAGGGCTGCTGCCATTTCTATTGTCATTCCATTTCGTTTCGTTTTCTTTTTGTTTCTGCCCCGCTGCCAACAATCTGCCACGAAATACGAGTTGGCCAAAAATCCCTGGGAGCATAATAATTCAAGCAACTACCGGACTCGCTTTAGCTACCTCTTTTAGTGCGTACAAAAAATTGATTTAGATTTCTATCCTATAGAGATACATATGTACATATATCCGATTCAGATATATCGATCCGATCACTAACCTGATTCTGTTGTTCTGTTTCTGGATGCTGCCCAGCACTTTAAGTTTGTTCACTTTGAAGAAGTTTTCTCTTTGATTTAGTGTGGAGTTTTCTTGGTAATTTGCACACGCGAAATTAGTTGCCTGAATAATTAACACTTTTAGGTCACCGTTTTGGGCAATTTGTTGGTGGACACCAACACGGATGTTGCTTTTGGCGGAAACGGAAACCGGAAATTGCGCGCACAACCAAGGCAACAGCAGCAGCCAGCAGCAGTCAATGCCAGGCTTGAAACCGTTTCAAAACCGGTGCTCCTCTGTATGTTTTTCCAATCGACTCTTGAAATATGCTCGAAATGCAATTAATTATAATATTTATTCAATTGATCACCCACACACGCACAAACACACACCGACGCGTTCGCGCACTCACACACTACCGTGCGCCGTGTACTCTTACTGGCGGTGCAATTAATTATTGTTTGTTTAACTGTGGTCCACATTTATTATGGATATTAAAAAAACCTGTGTCTGCGCCACAAAAACACATGCCACACAAACGAACAGCAGCAGCAGCTTTAATCCAAACGAACTTCAGTTTTAAGCTGTTGAAGTCGTCTGTTCTTTTACTTTGCACTTTTCCTTAAGTTCACTTTCTGGTAATCCCAGCAAGAACTGCGATTTGCCTTTAGGTTTTCGGACTACGAAAATGTTACGCACGCTATAGGGCCCGGGGCTCTGGGTGTCACGCTGATCCGCGACGCACGTCCGATGCTTACGAAAAACGGTTTTGTACTTTGTGAGATACGGGATACGGTCGGCAAGGCCGTCGTCCCTTCAAATCCTCCCGGCTTCAAATGTTGCTGCTGGCTAAAAATGTTGCTCGGCCACAAACGGTTTGCTGCTGCGACAAGAAAAGGTATGGACAACAGGCAAAGCGGCGCAGACAAATGCCACGCATGCTAGGAAACTCCACCCCAATAGCTAACATACCACAAAACATGTGCTTCGTGCCTGGAAGAGCGCCAGCGTGCGATGTATAACGACACCTTCGGCTGTCTACTGCTGCTTCCAGTAAGAGAGCGAGCGACTCTCTTAGGCTACCCCACGCTCTTAATGGCCTTCCACTCAGTGGTCTGTGCACTCTCTTTCGTTCTGATGCCGGCTTTGATTTGTTTGTCGGCATTTTGCCGGCTCCCGAGATCCTCTAGAGGACATTTAACTGCAATTCCTTATAAATTATGTGCCCGCCGCCTGCTGACTGAAGGCCATTTCGGTCCTTGCACCGACTGACAGATTGACGTACTGACGGACTGACGGGCTTGACTAGTTTTTTTGGTATGTTTTTGGTTTTTTATTGGTTTGACACGGCGGATCCCTACGTCAAGGGCACACCTGTTGTGCACCCCCACGAGTGCAGGTAAAATATGAATGGCAGTGTGGGTGGGGGATGAGTTCTCACCACAAAATATTCATCTTGCCACACTCCTTTTCATACGAATTGTTAAATTTTACAAAATTGAATACTTTTAAAATAAATCCCACTTGAAAAGACTTACCCGCTTCCGGAAGTTCATTAGGAAAATATTTTGAGCGCATGCAACTCTTAGAGGAAACTCAACTTGAATCAATTGGCCCCGCTTCTCTCTCTCTCTCTCTCTCTGTCTCTCTCTCTCTCACTGTCTGTTATCCTCAAAATCCATAAGTCAATTAGCTGTTTAATTGTTTTTACAGCAGTCTCCCAACCAGAAGTGAAGAAGTGGGCAGAGCTATCCGATGAAAAGAAAGGCAACATAAATCACGTCAGTGCAGCCGCCCAGAATTTACATAAATAATATCCTATCCCGTCCCTGAGAACAGGGCGTGGGTCGAGGGAACAAAGAGATTTGCTGCGGATGCTTCTGGCCCCTAGTTCTAGTGCCACACTCTGGACCCTGGGACTCTCATTTCGTGTCTCGCCTAAACATCATTAAAAATAAAACCAATTAACGGTTTCGAGTGCCTGTCTCCTGCCAGAGGGGAATAACAACCCCCCTCTCTCTCTCTCTCTCTCTATCCTTCGGTGAGTGCGTTACCAAAAATAGTTTGCAAAAATATATATGTACTGTATGTGAAAAATGAGCCACACAATGGTGGAGTGGAGTGGAGTGGAGTGGAAGGAGAGCAAACCGAATGTCATTGCCGTTGCAGTCACAGATTGTCATAATGGTGTCGCTGCTGCTTTTGCTGCTGTTGCTTGGGTTCGTTCTTGTTGCGGTTGCAGTGAGACAGTGCGACAGAAAGAGAAGGCGAATAGGGTTCGGATTTCGGGTTCAACTCCTCTCCTCGGGGGTTGTTGTTGCTGGCACTCAGCCTCGCACTTCGCTTCCTCTGGCCATGCATCTGCTTGACAATTGTTTCCATTTACCGTTTTTTTTTTGTTCGTATTCTGTTTTTTTTTTTTTCCCGGTTAATCTCGAAGCTGAGATCTGAAGAGCGAGAAGGGGAAGTAGAGAGAGAATGAAGTACAGAGCGTTGTGTGAGTGTGAATGCAATTTTTATTTACTTTTCGCACACTTTCGCAATGACTTGCAGCAGTAGCGTACCCGTACCCCTGCCCAACGATAAACCCCAATGACGGGGCTAAAAACTTGGATTCGAAATTAGATTTGGCGCGTGCGGGTGAGGGTAGGGGTAGGGGTAGGGTATGGGGTTCCTAAAGTGTTTACTCGCATGTTGTTTGGTTTGCTATGAACCCTGACCCCAGACACCCTCCCGGAGGATATATTCGTGATGTGCATTCAGTTTAAACGTTCTTAAAAGCGCAACTAATAAGGACTCAATAGTGTCAAGTCATGTGGAAATGCATACCGTATGATGATGATGATGATTATGATGATGATGATGATGTTGTTGCTCATGGGGGGGTGGTTGAACCCAGGGCACTCGATAGTAACCACCGACGACAACATTTATCAGCGTTTAATTGAAATTAAGTTTCGTCATCATTGCTATGCCAAATGCAGCTGGCAACCCTGGCCAGCCATCTAAGAGAGAGATTGACTCTCTTCGAATACGTTCTCTCCGTCGCTCTCTCTCTCTCTCTGCGCAAAATATATTTATTTCCAGTGGAAGAGAGTTTTCGCTCTTTGCATTTGACTCATCGAATAAAGGAGCAGCACAGAAACAACAACATTTCATTCAGAATCAAATATAAGCTCCAAGTTCAGGCCTCACACCCCTAGGGGGTGTGGAGAAAACATTCTCGTTGCGGTTTTTCTTTTAAGTAAACTAAATTTTTGGAAAATTACAAACCAAAGGGGGAGAAAGACAAAGAGAGAGAGACAGAGAGAGAGAGAGAGAGAGTGAGAAAGAGCACAGTGAAAGAGCGAAGGAAAATCAGCAACAAGGAAGCGACACACAAATCACAGAAAATATAATTTATTATTTCTTGCCTTATCCTTGAGCCACAGCCAAGGCGCATCTTCTCTCTCACTCTCTATCTCTCTGATATGTTTGTCTTTGGCCCTAGTCCATAGTCCCGGCTCCTTCATCCCAAGCCCCCCCTGCCCCCTTCTACATTCCCATTCATTCCCATTTTGCCTCCACGCCCTAGCCCCAGCCCTGCCCTGCCGCATCTGCTTCGCCCTTTACCTTGTCTTGGGTAAAATTCTATGCTTAACGCCATTTTTGTGTGCGAGACACGATGACGACAAATTTTCAACGTGCAACCTGACACTGAGCTGAGATTTTCCAAATTCCTTGTCTTCACTTGTGTGCAACGCGCGCCCCGCCTCCAGCTCCAGCTCCTTCTCTCTCTCCTGCCACCAAACGATTGCTGCATGCATGCAAAACTGCTCGCCCCCGTCCGGGTCTCCATCTCCGACTGAGACTCTGTCCGTCCGGGTTTTCATCTCCATCTCCGACTGCGACTGCGACTCCGACAGTTGAAAGGATTAGACCAGCTCATGTGTCCCTGAGTCTGGGGGTGTGTGTGTGTGTGTGCTTGGGGGCTGAATGGGGGCGACAGATTGGAATAGAGTGGTGCACAGTGCCACTGAAAGTGAGAGAGAGAGAGAGTGTGTGTGGGGTTGTGGGGGGGTGTGTAAGCAGGGTACGAGGACCTAAAAAGTATTTGCACAACTCTCAAGTGGGTCAAATGATTAGGCGGCATGATGAAGTGCCTTGCCACTTGAACCCGCCTTCTGCCTCCGCATCTGCCTGTGTGCCACTGCTGCCACCGAATACCATCTTCCATCCAAAAATAAACAGTTTAATGTTTTGAATGAGCAATTGAATTTGATTATGCAGGAGAGTGGGTATGCGACTGGGTGTACGAGTGGGTGAGAATGGGTGTACGAGTGGGTGAGAATGGGTGTACGAGTGGGTCTCCAAGGATGGCTCGTATTCCGTTCCAAATGAAGACATCGTTGTGGAGCAGGCACACAAATGCATTAGGTAATGGCAGTCTATGAATTTTGTGGGCCAGATTGGGCTACAGAGATGATTTTCAGGCTCCATAGACGGAGCAAATCAGGCAAGCAGCTTACGTGAAATAACACAACACCTTACGCCGGATTATATTGCTCGCTCGCAGTCTGATGGCTGATGCTGATGATTGCGCTCAGTGCAAAGTCAGTAATTACGATGGGCTGACGATGGGTCTTTTGCAGGGATTAAATTTTGGTAAGCGCATTCAGTTAAGCTATGAGTACACAGAGCCAGTATTTGTACGTGCTAACTGCATATTTGATGCATAATTGTTTTCAAGTTTCTTTAAGGAAATTCTCCAAAAAAAAAAAAAAAAAAAATTAATGTCTATTTTTCAGCCATAAACTTAAATAAATCCAAAATTTTCTTGTTGCATCTTTATATGGCAGACTCACTTGATAATCCCAATATTATCACTGCTTTGAAAACGTTTCCCAAGCAACAATTTTTCACATTTTTCACCTCTCATTATTACATGGCCCAGGAGCAGGTTGAACTGGCCCGCAATGGCAATAACAAGAAACGAAATGAAACGAAACGAAACAGGAAATTGCTACTTAGATTCAAAGCCAATCCTTGGCTGTTGGCTACAGAATGTTCCCAAAACAGAAAATACAACAAAAAAAGATAAAAGCCAAGGAACAATGGCAGACAAAATATGGCCCAGGCCCAAAACGGGCCAAAAGGAGACTGTAGGATGAGTGGGAAATTGGAGTGGTGGGAGGCAGCACCCACCCAAGTAGCGACGACATTTAACGTTTTAAATCTGATTATTCCACAACAACTGTCAATAATGCAAACACAGAGAGAGAGAGAGAGAGGGAGAAAGAAAAGAGAGAGTGGAAGAGGGAAAAAAAGGGACTTTCACCCCGGGACTAAGCCCCGGCCAAATGAGCGGATGAATGCCTACCTGCTACCCACTGCCGCCATCCTGTCCTCTCGATATTCCCATTTTCCCTTTCCTCACTCACTCTTCCATTTTCATTTCCCTTCTCCTGGCCCTTCTGCTGGCCCCGTCTCCTGGCAAACCGCAAACGAGGCGAGAAAATTGTCACAAAGGCGAACAAAAAAAACAGAACGAACAAAAAGCAGCAGCAGCCATCGAATTGTGTAAATCAAAATAATAATTGCAACTGATAACAACATCAATAACAATAAGCGCGGCCCAAACCTTCGACCGAAATAAAGGTGAAGCCACCAACGGACGGGGGGACTCATAGCAATAAAGGATAACCGGAAGCGGAAGCGAAAGGGTGAGTCCTGTAAAGGGGGTTGGAAGTGGGGGGGCGACAAGTAAAAGGCGTTGCTAGGCCTTGTCAAAATACCGAGACTCCTTGCAGGCTAATTTATGGCTCGCTCGCTCGGTCGCTGCTCTCTCTTAAAGTTTTGTTCGAATTTTTGGGGCTCGTAAATCTTTTCAACACATACAAACCGCACACAAACACACACACACACACAGACACTGTAATACACTTGAAGGGGAGTGGAGGGTGGAGAGTGGAGTTCACTCTCCTTCCCCTCGTCGCTCGACACTTCAGCTTCAACACTTCATATTAATATTAAGTTCATTGTGTTAAGTTGGCAGCGCCGATTTCTTATCATTTTTTGTTCACATTTTTTTCTTCGTTCTTTTAATTTTAGTCGCGCATTGACAATGAGAAAAAAAAAAAGCTGGAAAGAATGGCAAACTTTCGCGGGCCGAAGTTATAGATACCCTTACACAGATACATTTATAGGGTATGTACATATGTAAATTGAATAGAATAGAATTTCCCACAAAGACTACATCGTACAGCGAATTATTAGCAGTCGCTAATTTGATTAATTAATTTTTAATAGTTAATTTATATTATCTATAGGTATATATACATATAAAATTTGTGGATAGTTTCAGAGATTTTAGCTTAAATTATATTCTTGAAAATACTACCCTTATATCTGTGCACATTAACATGTACCCCGCCTGCTAGAGTACGCGTACAACGCAGACGAAAGACAAGAAAGAAGGACAATGAGTAGGACGACACTTTGGCTTGTTTGCTGTTCCTGGTGCCTGCTGCCTGGGCTTTTGGCTCTGCTCGGCTTGGCGGGGGCTTATCTCTTGGCTGCCTGGCATTTACATTCAACGCTTGACAGCTTCTTTGGCGTGGGGCGGTGGGGGGGGTGGTGTTCGTTGTTCTGGCACCTCTCTCGCACCCAACACTCCCTTGGGGGGCGTGCGAGGAATTTTCCTTTGTGAACTGATATTTCACTGGCTCCGGCGCCTTTTCCTTTTCTTATTTTCACCCCCCACACCGACACACCCTTTAAAATAATCATAAAGTAGACGCGCATAATTATCGAGGAAAAACTGAGGAAATTTACAAATTTACATGCACCGCTTGCGTCAGACCGTGTTGCACACAGAGTCCATTCGATAACGTTAAATCTTCGTCTTTGGCTCAACGTGAAATACATTTACGGAAGGACATTATGGGGCTATAATTTTTACTTTCTTTATGCTTCAAATTATGGCTTTTAATGTTGCTTCTATAATTTTTGAGAGCTGCCTGAAGCCTGTGAAGCTTTACTTTTTATTATAGAAAATTGCATTTAAATTCCTTGCACTGTTTAGTTTATTTATTTGCTTGGTTATTGATTTAATTTGATTTATTTCATAACTATATATCGCAAGCAAGCGGGTTGCCTGCTCAGTGTCTGCGTCTGTCCTCCAAATCCCCCCAAATAAAATGAAACAGAAATCTAAAATCTAAAATTAGCAGAGTCACAATGATGCCAGCTGAAGCTATTTGAAAATTGTGAAATAATTTCCAAGCACACAACGCTCCAGCGGAGCTACATTGTGTGGGGAGTGGGGAGTGGAGTGTGTCTGCAATTACTTTGATGATGATGCTGATGATGCGAAGACTAAGACAGGATGATGACGACTATGATGACGCCTGCGATACGCGGTATACATGCAAATATACGTACACACAATGAGAAGCGAAAGTCAGCAGATCAAACACCGCCCCCCGCCACCCGCCTAATCCTCTATCAGCGGGAGGTGGGGCGTGGGTGTGTATAGAGCTTATAGAGCCCTTAATCAGGGCGCATTATCAATGGCTGCTCTATGATACACGGCTATTTGTTTGATGACTCTGACAGACACACCACAGCTGACGTGATGGCAGGTAAACACACACACACACACACACACACATACATAGACGCATTCGTGAATAAAAGGGGGCGTGACGGGTAATGACAGACTTGAGGAGTATTTGCAGTAATAGAGTGAGCAAACTCCTCTCTACTCAACCCCTTGAAAGTATCAGAGAAAAATATCACAGAAATTCTGTGCTTAAAAAAAGTGGGAAATATTTATAGAGCTTGGGACTGTCTCTCTGTGTTCCTCTCAGATGCAGACCCCATCAAAACTTTACATTTAACATCACCATTTATGTATAACCACAAAGCATTTATCTATGCAAGGATTTGCAGCATTTTTAAGCAAATAAAATCAAACAAAAACATTTCAAAATTGACATTGGCCGCGCCATATTAGCTGGCTACCCCCAAAAGGCCACCCATCAAAGGATTTATATGTAAACCACATTGGGCAGCAATTTGAAAACTTTAGCATCATTCGGTGGCGGTTTTTATGGCACTTTCCAGCCCCAGAGATACCCGGAGAACCCCACGGCCACGAACCCCTTTCAGCTTTCGGCGGCTTGCCAATTGTTTTGGGCCATGGCCATTGCCACATTGCAACAGAGAAGTTGTTCCAAAATTTCTGTGCCCTTTTGTTGCCGTTTCGAAATTTGCTATTTGTGGTCCATGGAATGCCATGCCATGCCCCTGCCCTGCCCTGTCCTGCCGCTACATAAGGCTTGAGAATTGAGTTAATTATCTTGTCGCATAATTAGAAAAGTTCAGAGTTCCAGAGAGAGACAGAGAGCTGAGCTGGCTGCTTTCTCTCCCTCTCTCTAGATAACCTTAATTTCACGCTCTTATGCGGAAAACGCATTTCAATTTTCATAATTTCAGTTAATAACTCAACAAATAACGCCAAAAGGCAAAAGGAACTTCCCATCCAAATGCAAATATTGATAGATACTTTGCGGAGTGTGCCGTGTGGAGGAACTTCCTCTAAATGATTATGATGATGGGCGACGAGACCATTGCAGGCAGAACATGAAGAGCAGCCAGGATGTGGGGGTGGTGCGGGTGTGGTCGTGGTCGTGGTCGTAAGTGGCACGTCTAAATATGAAAAGCACTTGGCGTGGCCACCCAAAGGGAGGCAGAAATGACTCAAGTCGCCTACGTTTTACTTCCAAGCCAAAGACAAACATTTCCAGAGCAAGAAATGAGGGGCAGCAAGCGCCCTTTCTGGATGCTCTTATTCCAAGCATAAAATAGAAGAATATATATACTTAAAGATACATTCATCTGTGCACTGCAAAGCTCAGATATAAATTGGAGTACCCGTCAGCAAGAGCTGTGTAGGGCAGGGAGAAACATTGCTATAGGGGGGGGAGTGAAAAAGGGGTTAGAGGTTAGTAAGTAACTGGGGCTGACTGCCCAGGGCCATAATGACAATTACAGTTACCGCCTGCCATCGCAGCCCAAAATCCAAAAGAGAACTTTTTACTCTGGGCTTTAAGCAAATAAATCCAAACGAAAACGTTTTCCAGCTCTCTCTCTCTCCACTTACCCTCTCCCTCTGCCTCTCCCTTTGGCTTTCTTTGTGTATGTGTATCTTCTTGTCTCTTTCTGTAAGACCTTCTGGCTTCGCTCCACGCTCAATGAGACACAAACAAACAAGCAAACAGCATTCACCCATAGAGACCGAACCGATGCTGCCATAGCACAAAAACCCCTCAAGGGTCGGCGCGCGCCAGAGCGCCAAGCAATTCAAAAAGGGGTGAAAAAGCTAAACATGACCCCCAGCAGTCCCAGCACACACACAAAGAGTGACTGGGAAAGTAGTGACAGGAAGGGAAATGCGAGCGAGAGGAGTGGAGTGCAGTGGAGAGATACTCCTTTCATGTCTCCTGTGGCGGCCATCGACCACGTAAATAAAAGCGTGGCAAATACAAATAGAAATAAGTCAAAATGTATCTATGCATGTATCTGTGTGTGTGTTTGTGTGTGTATGCATCTAGGGGTAAGGGCAGCGGAAACGGAAGGGCATGGAAAATGCGTCTAGCGTGGCGCATCCCAAGCTCATTCGATCTATTTGCTTAATGAATTGAATCTTCCATTTATTTGTTTCAATTGTTCAATGCACAAAACACAAACAAAAAATGCAAACAAGGCAAAACAATTAGAATAAAATGCACCCCAGGGAGCTTAAAGACTTGTATGATCTCTCTCTCTCTCTGTGCTTTATTCGGGAAAGTATACCCGCTCCTTTACCAAAAACGAAAACTGGCCTTGCGTTCGCACGTACTTGTCCAATGTGGCCCAGAACTGCATCAAAATGCTGCTGTGGGTGTGCGGCTCGTTCTTTGATATTTCCAGCGAATTAATTTCCATATTCAGCAGATCCTTGTGCACGCCCACATCCTTGTAGTACAAGTGAAAGGCGCACACTTTGTGAAAAATAACAGCGGCATCGCCATGCCAGGGCCAGCCCTTGAACTGCCAGTGTGGGCCCAGGGCGAAGACAGCAATCACACGCTGCCACTCGTCGGGGCACAGCTTGGACACATTGTCAATGATCCGATACTTCTTGAGCTTGCCATCCTGCCAGAGAGCATGGGAATAGGAATCATAATGGCGTTGCGAAATGAAAGCGCGAACCCATATCACTCACCGAAAACTCACGTTCAATGGCAACCTCCTCCGGCCGTAGAGTGCCCAATGGCCGCTGCATTTCCGGCTGCACAAAGTGCAATTGCTCCAGCAATTCCTTGGCATTGTGCAAGGTGATTAGGCTGCTCATCGCCTGTGGCACCACAATGATGGGTCTGCGCGAGAAGCGCGTTACAGTTCTAATCGGACGCTCGATGGTCGAGTTATATCTTGCCCTTATCCCTTCACGGACGACGCTCTCGCGTGTGCCCGACTTCTTGTTGAGGTTGCTGCCCAACGTATTGATGCCCAGGTCCGTTTGGCCCGGAATGGCCACGGGCATGAGGAACTTCTCCTGGGCGTAGCGGCTGTATCTGGGCAGCGTCTCCAGCTCTGGCGACACAATAGGCACCTCGATCAGCTTGCAAGCCCGCACTCGGGGGGCAGTCATCGGATTGTTGCTGGGCGTGGGAGTCGCAGTCATTGGTGTGACGACCTTGGGCTGACCTTTGGACGCAGACTTTGACTTCCTCTCTCGCTTACGATGTCGCTTAGCTGGTGATTCGACTACGGTCTTGCCAGCTGGCTTCTTGGGCCGGCTTCCTCTCATCGGAATCCTTGGATTTGACTGTTTTCTTAGCTCGAGCGTCGTTGGAGGGAGATGACCGAAGGATTTCAGACATTTCCTCCGAAGAATGATCGCCAACGGAGATATCAGCTTTCTTGGCGGCTTCCTTGAATCCCCGAGCCTTGGCCTTTCGTTTCTTTTTATGTTTTTTGGCAGTGCGTTGCCCAGCCAATGGTATCGCCACCTTCTCCCTAGGCAGATGCCGCCGCAAGCGACGTCTCTTCGCGTTGTAGACCTCTGCCAATAGATCCAGCCCACACGACATATCTGTTGTGCCGTTCATTTGGCTGAGTGGTTTCTCCACACGCCACCGCTTCTTTGCCTCCCGCACCACCCATGCCTTGTGCTCCTCGTCCGCCTCGCGTGTCTCCCGCTTCTTGCGTTTATCGGCAATGGACTCTACACCCTCGGGCTGCTCCCTGGCGCTACGCTTTTTGGCCAGACGCTTGGCCTTGATGGCCGCTATTGCATCGAGGGACATGGTCTGACTCAAAGTCCTATTGGAGTCGCAGTTTAATGTTATCCTTTCCATTGTGACGCCTTTGCTGACTGCTGACAAGTAACTGAATTAACTGATTGAAATTCCCTGATGATTAAGGATTTACGTACGCACTTTTCGGGGATTTCTAAATTAAACTTCTGTGGTTGAAATGTTTCGAATGAATTGATTAAACTGTCAAATTGACAGAAATTCTTGACGATTTATAAATGGTAATTTCGAGGACTACTTGATTCACAGTTTACTTTTTGTCAGTTGGCTGTGCATGAATTGACTTATTAGTTTTTTTTCCACTGTATATTCTACTTCTGTGTGCTGCTCTTTGGATCTTTGGCTCTTTCTGTGCTTTGGGCTCTGTTACTGTGCTGCTTCGTTGTTTTTGTAATTTGTTTATTTAATTCTAGTGAGAGAAGATCGGACGAGCGAGGCGATTGCCTCATTCCCGCTGCATTTCCCGCTGTCGCTGAGTGTGAATGAGAGGGGAAATGTCTGCACATCAATTGCATTGTGTAAACATTTGGTAGTAATAACGAACGGGACTATCTATGCTGCGTAGTTACTCTATCTTGTACTTTTAACTTGCTTTAATACCCTTTACTTGGCAATATCGCACATAAAACTTATTTCCTAGCAAAAGACAAAGCCACAAAAACAGATAAAAACTGCTCCAAAAACTGCTCTCAAAAATAATTAACAAAGGGCTTTCTAAATAAATCATAATTAAATATAAGAAATTCCTATATTTCATGGCAATAAACAAACTTTTATTCAAACAAAAAAAAAAACAAAGAAAACCATGAAAATTTATAGATTTAGGCTGGTAGTTAAATGCTAGACCCATTTCAATGCTTATTTCTTTTTGGGCATTTAGGATGCGATGCTCCTTTGTTTATGACATAAACGAGAATTTACGCTCTATCGCTTCGATCAAAGAGCACAAAAGACAGAGCTTCATAACAAAACACACAACAAAGCCAAATTATCATCAGTTTTATCAAGCAATTTATGCAAAAAGCTAAAAATAATACAAAAAAAATAAGAAACTTTTGGGGTATATGAAAGATTGGAAAATTGCATTCGCATTCGCATTCGATGGGAAGAGAGATAGAGAGAGAGATATTTCTGCGGTCGTACGCATAAATCTGTTGCTGGTTTTTGATCTGCCTACCGCGGGGCGCGGATAATGAAATTAATCGTCTGTAATGGTTTATTGTGTGCTGGTTGGTGTCTGTTTCGGCCAGGCCAAAAATGGCCACGACCAGCAGGGCCCAACCAACCAAAAATGACCGACGACCAGATACAAATTTCAATTGATTTCGTTTTTTTTTCACCATATCTTTCACTGTGTTTTTTTTTTTTTTTTGGTAGAGGAATATCCCCAGAAATATATTGAATTGTCATTGAATGTCGCGTTGCCATAAATAAGAGCCGGCTAATGGGGCGGCGGTCTCATGCAATTTTTGTGATTTAGTGGGGCTTTGGAGGACTAGAGTGGAGTGGAGTGGAACCCACACAATGTCTGGTATCCTTCTCGTGGCTGAGTCATATATCAAAGGATTACTTTAAAATGGAGAATCGACTGTCACGCTTCTAAACTCTAATAACAGCAAAATAATCATCATAAATCCATAAAAGAAAATCTCATTAATCCATCCGCTCCTCCCCCACCCACATGGTCCTGGCTTGAGTATGGGTGAACATTTTTGATGTTTCCTCAACGCCGATGCCACAGGGCTAGGCCGAAAGCATAGAGCAAAGGTTTGGGTGGGGGGGACACAGAGGAAGACGAAAGAAAAATCGACAGAGGGCATGACGCGTCAGTCGTCTGCCTCGTCTGTCTCGTCTCTCTGTCCCTTTATAAGCTTCTCCGTTCCATGCCACACACTTCAAATTCAAATTACTACACATTATATAATATCCTGCAGGCTGTCCGCACGTACTGCAGGAATGGAACAAGATGGAGACGTGTAGGATGAGCGAGGACATGCCATCATCCATGTTGGCACAATACCACATAACAATGGTGCCACGGGGCATCCATCCAGGGCCAAGCAGTAGGTGTGGAGCAACCGAAGCTCTGACTGAGGTGAAGGCTACTGCGTATAGTTCTTTCTGCCCTGCCCTGCCCTGCCCAGCCTCATGCAATCTTGGAAGTTGATTAAGAAGAAGTTCATTTTAAGTTTAAATACGCATCAAATCGAATGCAAGGAGCGAGAGAGAGAGAGAGAGAGAGCTGTGGCAGGAAGCAAAGAAAAGTCTCGAGGTGGCGGCACAGTGGGTAAGAAATGTATGAGCACTGCTGTAAATAGACTTTGAGCCAAAAAAAAAAAACACTCTCTACGAGGAAAATAATGATTTTATTCAGCCTCCTGTCTCATTGTCTTTTCCTTTTTTTTAGCTAGCTGGCTGCCTTTTGTTTCTCTTCAAAGTTGTGCGAATTTTCATTTGGAGTTTGTGTTGTTGTTTTGTTTTGTATCCACACGTAGCATAACTTGTGCACACAACTGTACTTTCACACACAATTTCAAGTTATAATCAGTGCTCATTATTATACCAGACACGTTTTCAGATTTCGCGTGATTATGCGCCGCGGCTCGGCAACATCTTTGGTGCCCTGCCCGTGGAGAGGCGGCCGCGGAACGCAGGAGGAGTCAAGGAATTAAACTTGAAAATAGCTTAAGAGATACATTCTGTGCTTCTAGTAGATAGACGAGAGAATGTAGCCTAGGTCCTGCCCCGTTGTCTAGAACCACAGCCATAGGGGAGGCAGGCGGCACGGCCGGTCCGGGCTCATGCCATAATGCTTATTGTTGTCATTTGTGTTGCTGCCACGGAGGCATGGCATGGGAGGTACAGACGAAAAGTTGGCGAAAAATATGCAAATTATAATGAAAAACTTGACACTTTACATGCAAAGCAACAACAGAAACAACGGGGATACGAAGCTGTGGCTGAGGCTGCGGCTGCTGGTTGCTGGATTTTGGGTCTGGAAGTGGGAGTGGGTGTCTTGGCGTCTCGGCCCTTAGCCGAGATGCGAATCTGTGGTGGGGCGATTAAGCGGGCCAAATGAAGCGCTCGCACTGCCTCCGCATTTTAATTAAGCAAGCAGCCAAATAGTCGACAACGCTGCTGCTATTGCTAGCATACCCTTGCAAAGGGTTAACACGAATTTGAACTAAAAGTTTGCCACCTAAAGAGCCCGGCCAAAAACGGCAGGCAATGCGGAGAGAGTATCAGTAGCTTCGCCTTCCATAGATATTCAACATTTCGGGCTTTTTGGTACGCAGCCACCCACTCAGCAATGAGTAATCAGCGTAGCGACGCTGCAGCATGTGGGGGCAGGGCAGCGGAAAATGCCAAAAATTCCCATAACATTTGCATCTGCAGCTGCAGCTTTGTTTCATTTCACGTTTAAGGTGCAGCACCCACCAAACAAACAAATGTCAAACAAATGTCTGGAGAATTTCTCACAAATTAAAAGGATTTTATTAGATTTGATTTGATTAAATTAACATTAGCTAAGGAAATGGCTGAAAAATTCGATGTGTACATTAGATGGATTCCTAATATATAACTTGGAGAACTCAAACAATTTTTAACTGTTCCTTCTCTAGCAATTTAAAAGTAATTTTCATCCACTTATTTGTTTATATTTATGCCACAATCAGAACAAGTCCCAGGGCCTGCATGAATTTACTTTAGTAAAGGGTACTAAGGCACTTAGTACTATTCTCTACCCGGAACTTAACTTTATTAGTGAGGGACGAGTTCTCATAAAAAAATACATACAGAAAAACATCATACTTTAGGGGGTTGCATTGGTTTCTGAGAGTAAGCGATCGAAGTAATTAAAAAGAACTGGAGATCGGATGGAACTTTGAGCGTATATTAGACTTATGTGGTTTATTTTTATTCCCCAATCGGAACGCGTCCTTGGCCAGAACTAAACTCAATTTCATTCAAGCATTGCATTACGAGTACGAGTACACTTTTGCAACACTTTCAACTTTTAACCTTAAGTGGAACGGAAAAGAAAAAACATTCTACGATTTCATTCACACACACACACACACCCACAGCAAAGTCGTACAAATTATAGCGGAAAATTACCTTAACGAAAGGGCTTCCGCCACAGTGGTATAACCTCTTTGACATAACTGTACCCACCCCGTCTGTCTGTCTGTCTGTGTGACACTGTTATCCTGCCCCAAAACAAAAGCAATTAGATGTCGCCAACTGGCACTGGCTTGGCTGGGATTGTGATTGTAAATGTGAATGTGAATGTTGCATGTGAAGGCAAGCCGGGGAGGGGGGCATGTGGCAGGTGGCAGGTCGTCTCTGTGTGTGTATGGCAGAGACCTACATACATATGTATATAGTAAAAAGTTTTGCCAACGCGATTTTCTTGGTAAAACTATAAATTTACAAGCCACAATCATGGCCGCAATGGAGACGCTGGGCGTCGACGTCGAGTTACCGTTATGTGCGCCCGCCCTCATTGTTGGCATACGAGTATCTCTGTGTAGGTGTGTGTGGGTGTGTGTGCAGGTGTGTTAAAAAAGTTTGTGTGTTGCGTGAGCCTGAGAGTGTATTAAAAACCATTCTGGTGCACAGTGTCCCAAGTGCCGCACCTCCTTCCCCATCACCGCTTCAACGTTTATTTAACCCATGTTTTGTTGCTGTTGCTGTTGCTGCGGTATTTGTTGTTGTTTCAAGTTGTTGTTGTTGCTGATTTTTATTGCCATTGTTGTTGTTGTTTCTAACGTTAGTTTTAAAAACTTTACCCGCTGCTTAAGGGGGACGGTTTGGTTGGTTGATTGTCGAGGGTTAATATTTTGGGTTGTTGAGGCATTTATCTTTGCTACCGCTGCCGCTGCCACTGCCGCTGCTGCTGCTGTTAGCGTCCTTAAAGTTTTTGCCCTGGCAAATCCTGAATGGATTTTAAGTGGAAGAAGTTTAATGATCGAAATTATTCAACATGCTTTGGCTTTATGTTTGTTTTATGGCCAAGCTTAGAGCTTAAGCTAGAACCAACTTATGTTTATGACAGTCTTGGCAAATAAACATATTTTAATGCAGGTTTCCTTTTTGGGCGGATTAATCCATGCCAAAGAATGGATCCGGGAGTAAATATGGAATGGATTTGAAATCTCTGGGAAAGCCTTGAATAATTCACATCTAACCAAGTGATCTATGAGACTTGAAGCCTCTTTCTCTGAGTTAATAAACATTTTTTGGTTGCCATATTTTTGTCAAAATTCTCTGTTGCTGCACCGATCAGCAATGTGCCTGCGCTGTCCCGCCTATTTGTGGAGTCTCGTGACGATCCAGCAGCCACTGGCACGATCACCAACGGCAAGCCAAAGCCTTCGCTGCTATGGCAAGGATGGTGGCGGCAGCTGTGGCTGTGGATGCCGCGATGATGGCGGCAACTGCAACTGCGGTGTCGAGTGTCCATGCCAGGAGCTTGGTCGTCTTGGCCCCAGTCCCCGAAATAAGCGCGATTTGCCAATGGGCTGTACGCCGCAAGTATTACTAACAAAGGCATTCACACTGCCCGCCTATATGCCAGCGTCGCTGTTCAGGATAGTGGCAGAGGACGAGCTACCGGGTCCCAGGACCTGCAGCAATCAGGAGTACTTCAGCTATCATCGCTACTCGTACTACGACTTAAAAACAGTCGTCGGAATGCTGAAACGGAAGGCAAGCACAGATTGCAAATAAGCCCGAGCTGCTGCCTTCCCCCCCATCAACCCCGCTCCAGCTACAGCTCCAGTTCCACTTCCAGTTCCGATGCTGGCGCATTATGACACTAATCGTATTAGTGGGGGGTGGTCGGTCGTTGGTTAGAGACGTAAAGGGCCATGTAGGTCCTTGTTTTTGGAATTGCAGAGGCAAACTAACGACCAGCAGCCCCCAAATGCCATTTCCGCACAATGTGCTCTGCACACTTTGGGACCGACATTCAATGCTGGGCCTGGGCCCCTTGTTTCCGGCTTACGTGAGACATTCTTCGTACAGGTGACATAATGATCCGGACTCGCAATCGGCCATCGCTTCGCAGTTGTAATTAGAGGGAAGCGAGGAGCAGCGGCTGAACCTCATGGATGCGAGCGATGTGCTGTTGCCTCGTTCCGGTGGCAACTTGGTAATTTAGCAAATCGGTTTAGCAAGTCATCGGGAAAACGCGTGGGCAACAGCAACAACAGCAGCAGCAGCAGCAGCAGCAACAGCAGGAACAACGTTCCTTGACAACCTGCCTTATTAAATTTACTGACGGCATTAGCCTCTTACTCTTACATTCACTTGAAAGTGACGTTCATTAGTTGATCAGGTACCAGGTGCAACAGATTCTCCCTGCCCAGCCCTTCGCCGTTCCGGAGTGTGCGCGCGGCAGAGCCCTGCGGCATGATGTGTTCCACCGGATTCTTCAAATCAGAGCTTAAGCTGCTTTGCCACTTAAATCACATAAAATATACGCATTGAAAATATTTGCTCCTTTTTCTCATTGTCTTCTCCGTTCGTTCTCTCTATCAAACAATCAGGAGGAGGGAATGCTAAACGAAAAAAGGGCAGAACACCGCGATGGTGCGTTCCTGCTTAAGTGATTGCCTAGTTTCGAACAAGTACATAGAAACATACATATGTACATATGTATATGTATATGAATGTTCATATTTATGTCCAATATTCGGCTGTGTAAATATATGGAACTGGCAACCAAAGAAGATTTCTATTCACACATCCGTTACCCTACCCCATCCCAGTCAATTTATCAACATTAATCGCATGCAAATTTTATGCAGGCTCCGCCATAAGACCCAAACGATATTTGCAAGCAGAAATCTACAACATAAAAATATACATAAATATATATAAATAAATATATATGCATGTACATATGTATGTATGTATGTTTGGTTATGTTTAGTTTGTGTTAACTTTTGGGGACTTTTGGAGGCTTTTGCTAATCACATGGCACTCTTTAGGATTGCTGCCCACTACAAGTCAGCCTCTGGCGTAACATTTGCATTTCAGCGACATCATTTTTGGTTCGTATTGTTAGCTGAAGTCACAAAACATGACCAAATCAAGGCATTTGCATAATTAATGAATTCTGCGCCCTGCGAACTGCCGTGCCGTTCTGGTGTGGTTTGCTCGAGCAATAAATTCATCGAAATTTATTTAAAAAGGATTCGATTCGGGATGTATTAGGTTCTGGTTATTTGCCAGGTACTTATAGTGATATTGCTGGATTTCTTAATACATATCCAACCTTAAATATCCGTATGCCCCTCCCTTTACCATTCCTTTGCAGACGTGACTTCTTTTAAATTTATATCGTTCACCTCACTGACAGATTTCCTGGCCCCACAAAACGCTAATTTCCGTTTTGTGTCAATAAAGATGATCTATCATGGGTGGAAAGAGAGCCCCAACAGCAAAGGGCCAAAGAAAGAGCACGGAAATTACGCGCATCATGCTAGAGGTTATTGGAGAATTAACTGGGGCGTAGAGTCAAAATAAAAGTTCCAATTTGATGGATCGCATGCAGTTGAGAGCAATGAATGAATCATCGGGATGAATGAATGAGTATAAGGGACATGTGAATACACCCAAAGAGTGGGCTCCTCTCTCTCATGGAATTTACACAGTCGAACAAAGTTTTTGGAACACGTAGCTCGACGGCAGCTGCCGTTGTCATTGGGGTTGGCTGCCGCTCAGTGTTTCGCTACCAAAAGTTTGCACACGCACACACTCGCGCACAGCAAACAAAATTGCAAATAAATTTTAATTGTTTTGAACAATTAAAAATTAAATTTAAAAAATAGTACATGAATGAGAGGGGCAAGGGGCATGCAAATTTCCGCTCTCTTTCTAGCTCTCTTATTCAATTTGTGCAAATGTTTTCGCAACTACGTGAGTGTGTGTGTGCGCATACTGGTGTGCGGCACTGTCCTGCTGCTGCCACTGCTGGCTGCTAAACAAATTAAATTAGACAACTTTTATTCATTCGTTTGACATTTTTATTTGTTTTCAAACTCATTTTGCCAGAGGAGGAACTTGGGCAGGACCAAAGTGGACACCGAACAGGACATTTGAACAATTAACAACAAATACAATTTGCAGACTTTTCGTTCACAACATTTTTGACCAACAACTGCTTCTGTTTAATTTTTCCCCCTCACCGTTCGCCCCTCTGATCACCGCCCTCTATTGTGAGATTTTAATTAAATGCCATTTGCATAAGGAGCAAGGACCAAGACGCCATCTTCTTTCTGTGGCATTCCTGGGGTTAAATTAAATATCTCAAAAAATAATATTACAAAAAAAAACAATTTATGACACTTTCTTTGTTTATCAACATGCCAACAGGAAAAAGAGTGGGAGAGAGAGAGATAGTAGGTCTTATCGATGGCTGATTGCAATCAAAGCAGCCAGACACTCGGAAATACTACTTGAATGGCATTTCTTGGGTCGGACTGACTACACAAAGCTCATCATTCACACTCGCCTGTAGAATGAATCGATTGATGGCACCAGCATGCACTCAAAATTCTACAAGATTTCTCTAGCATTAATGATATTCGCAAGCCAGGTGTTCAAAGAGCCAAACTTTAACTTATTTTGCTTTCCAGCGATTGCAATCAAATATATGTAGCAGCTATTCACAAAATACTCGTATCTTGATTAATGCAATATTATGATTGAAAACAAAGCTCTAAATCTACTATCCATAGAAGCAACACATTAGATGCTTAGTTTGAAGCATTTTTGCATTAATTTTAATGCCATTTGAAGTAATTGCAGAGCACCCCCTAGAGCAACCACTTGCACTCCCCCCACATGGTGTAGGACAAGTGACAGTAAACTTATTGATAAGACTTTGCTATCTCCACACCGCGATCGAGGCTCGCGATTGATTGCCATCTCTCTTCAATATCAGTGTGTCTTCGACAGTGGCAACAACAGCGACCGACAGTTTACTCCACCCGAAAAATCACCTAAATTATAAATAAAAACAACAACAACAAAAAGAGTACCTTATCGGCAATGCCACTGAAACTTCACAGATTGTGGCTACCGTTGCTTCTGTTCTTCCATCACCTGCATGCTGAATGTGAATAAAATATTAAAATGGCAAATCTTTAAATATTTTTTAATACTGATTCCTCTGTCTTCATTTGCAGCTCCGCAGTGCTTTCACTTTACGTGGGTGGGCGCCTATGAGAATCACTCGAATATTCACACAGAGACCTGCGACTCGAGAGTCGGTGACTTCAATGATATTCCCTGTGAAATGCCGCTGGTCGTGACAGGTGAGTAGCCAGTAGAACTGGCTATTGGCGGTTAATCAATAACTCTGAGAACATATTTAGCCAACGATACGGTGCCGGATGTGAGGGCCCTGTGGCACAATATGACGGAGGATCGCGAGAATTTCCTCTGCCAAATGTCGCCGGGCTTTTCGTGTGTCAAGTACTCCTATATATTCAAAGGAGGAAGTGAGTATGAATCCTTGAAGTGCAATGATAGCTCCTCCATCCCGCTCTCGCTCTCCCTTTGCAGTCCAGAACATCACGTACATGTGCGCCAGGGTGAACAGCAGCAATGGCTGCTATCGACAGACCCATCCCACTGGCATGCAGGTCGAGGCCTGTGTGTGCACGTCCCGTGTCGGACTGATACCCTGTAATGGGTGCTCTACAAGCACTCACTCGATCCATGTAATGGGCTTGGCCCTCTGTTTGCTCAACGTTTATCAATTGCTGAATAAATATCGAATAGTTTGACACACTCTTCGGCCACTCTTCCCACCTCCCTCCGGGTCACGGGGCTACTCACCCGTAATGTAATGTGACATTTCCGTGCTTTTTTGATTTTTGACAGGTTCTATGAAATTTATGTGCATTCTTTATAGGCCATATACAAATCCGTTTTTAATGTCCCTTTTTGTGTGTGTTTGTTTTGTTTTTTTGTGAGGCCAACCGCTGTGGCCAAATGAAGTGCCATAATTTATTTACCCGCCCATTAATCACACACACACACACATGCAATGCTGATGATGACAATGACGTTGCTGACGTTGCCGATGATGTCCACTGTCTATAAAAACTTCTCATCGTTTTGTTGAATTAATATAACTAAAATTTGCACATAAATCAAAGTATTGTGCGGGGTTTTTTGTTTCTTTTTTTTTAAGAATAAATTACAGAAATGATTGAATATTATTTTCACTCACGAGTCAATATTAAATTATTTATTTTATAATTATTTTCATAAATTAAATGAACATTAAAAGGCAAGACCAGTTTTTGAACACAAATATCAAAAAAATGAAAGAATAATAGCAGCCTTGATGGTTCATCTCTGAAACATATGTATGTACGTATGTATGTATATGTATATAAGTTTATTAAAAAATGCATTCATCAGTTGATTAAATTTCGTTTATTTTAGCACAAAATGATTCCCCCAGTTTAACGCATAATTTTCCATAAATCCAATTACATTTTTCCAACTCACATTTCTCACATTTCTGCAATATTCGAAATTATTTTAAATAAATAAAATACTGTGGTAAATCAAAATCCTAACAAAAATACTGCCGCAGACACGACACGGACACACCATAATCATAGACCAATAGACACTGGCCAATAGAGAGTGGTGTGGGGTTAGGGGGAACAGTAAACAATACAGGCGATAAACGAAACACCAGACAACACACACACACACACACACACACACACCACACAATTGCTGTTGGTACGGACACACACTGCGTATGAGCAATGCCAATGAATGAACAGCCAGGGATGGGTAGTGGGATTGTGGGGCTGCAGCCACCACAGATTGGCAATGCCCATTGGCACAGCCGGGGCTCAAATAAACTAATTTTAATGCCTTGCATTGTGGCCGGAGCACGCAATGCAGCTCAATTGGGATGCAAATGGCAGCAACGGCATCGAAATGGTGGAATCGAAGCATTCAGAGCTTGCACTCAGGGAACTTCAGTGAGCAGTGGGAGCAGGGGTACGGGGCACGGGACACGGGTCATGTCCAGGCGTTGGTCAATTGCATCTGCTATAGAGAGGAGAGAGGTTTCATCTCTTGATATGCACAAGATATTCGCATATTTATTTTTTTTATTCCCGCATATATTTATACTCGAATTCGATTCCGTGTTCGTGCCTCCCCATCCCTCTCTCTCTCACTCTCTCTCTCTGTATTTGCAATGCAAAATGGAAATGTACACAAAAATCGAAAAAATTTCAACAGAAATTTGTAAATTA